CTTGGCTGTCACAGAAGCACCAAAGACAGTTGCTGGGTGCTTATCTTGGGGGTATTAGTGGGGAGTGGGGGGGGGGGGTACACGGAATAAAACAGCCTGCTTGGAGGACCTTTTCAATGCACCACTGTACGCTACCGAGATCACCTGTCAAGTGAGCCTCCGGGGAATGCATTGTGTAGCCAGCCCCCGGCCCCCCAGCCTCACTTTGTCATCTGACCGCCAAAAGGTGACATCAGCAAAGGCCACGCCGTTCATCCTGCAATCAAAAAGCACAGTGAAAGCTTTTTTTTATGAGGTGCTCTTGAACAACGCCGACATTAACGGTGGGGTCCGGGCGCTCACATTGACGGAGCCGACATGCGGGAATGTGGCTGGAATCCCTCACAAGTCACAAATCCGGATTAATAATCTTGCCAGGGTCTGCTCGTGGCGTGGATTTTGACGTGGATAATCTCTCAAAAACATCTTTCACCTTTGTCCGTTGAACTGAAGAGAAATGCCATTATTTTGTTCCAGCCCTTACAAAAAAGACGAACAAAAAATCGTTTTTTTATTCAGAAAAGCACTCTTCAGTGTTCTCCTTTATTAAAAAATACATCAACGTCAATAATTAAATCTTTTGTGCATTCTAATTTCATGGATGAATTCCATTGTGTGGCCGGTGTTTACTCCTGGACCACTAGAGGGAAGTATAACACATACAGACACTCTGCACAACACTGGATTTGATGATGACCACCAGAAGAAGACGGTTGCGAACATGCTGCAGTCTTGGTCATTTTTTTTCAGAGGATAAAAAATATAATAATGAGTCCAATAGTGTAATTGCATGAGTGGTTTTTGAACATTTTCGGACAAACAATTATCCAAAAAAATAGTTCTAGTAACGCCAGACAAGCATAAAAAAATCGAAATAAAATGTTAAAACCTATAAATTCATAATTAAAACTGTAAATTATATTTACCCAGAAATGCACATTTAAAGTTAAAAAAAAACATCATAAATAAAGAAACATTTCAAACATGCAATTTTTTGGTATTTTACCATTTAAACTGTGTGTAAATTATCCACTACAATCACATTTTGCCACTCCTATAGACAAGTACAAAACTAATTTAATAATCAAACTAGTACCAATCATAAATACTGCATCACCCACTGAAAATTATGTCGAGTACTGCGCATTAAATTAAGGTTTTTTTTTTGTCCTCCTCCAAAATAAAACTAGGAGTATCCAAAATTCAACACAAACCCTCCCTGGTCTGGGAATCTCCTACTACAAGCCTGCCTCTGTTGGCTGACTGCTTCCCTCCCTCTGAGCCCCCTCCCCAACTGATGGAGGCCTACAGGGGTGCCGGGGGGGGGGGGCTTTTAATCTCCATCATCAACAACGTGGTGTACCGGAGTGGAATAACAGTTGGGGATCACCTGGGGGGCACGGGACGGTGGGTTCTATGTGGAGGGGCGTTGAACAGACACCCACTCTGCCACTCTGCTGTTTTTCCACTCCAGTCGGGGAGCTACTACAGGGAGAGGAACTCTGAAAGGGGTCTACAGGGATTTAACTACTCCTGTCAGCAAATGTGCACATTATGGTCAGACCACCACCTGGCCCCCCATCAACTTTTTTTTTCCTCCCGCCACTTAATGGCCTCATCGGCCCCGTCGTCGCTCTTATTTTACTACGCTTTCCTTTAAGTTCTGCTCCTGAAAGTGTCTGGAGAAGCTCAGATGGAGGTGATGTGGGGGGGGGCGCCTCCACTGTTGATACAGCACAGTGGCGGAGCATTAGCATAGCGGGGGAGGTGTAGCTGTTGCTGCCTAAACGGACGGCTGGAGAAAGCAAAACAAAAGGAAAAAAAAGACAGATGTGAATACTGTACTGAAACAACATTCATGCACATTTATCTGCAACGCAGTCATGTCGCTGGGCTGCAGAGGGTGAAATGAATTCGGAACTCAATCGTTTGTTGCTGCAAAGGACATAGAAAGCTGAAGTTGAAAGCCACATCAAGATCCGTGTCTCTGGTTTCAGATGGTGCAATTCAGTTGCCTGGCTTAACAGGCTGCAGCAGTAATCAAAATGAAAGTTATGTAAGAAAAATGGTTGTTGGTATTTAAGTAACAACTGCACAGATGTATCTAGACTACAGAGTGGGTCACTGGCTGGCGCGTTTTAGCTTTACGTTGTTCAATTTGTTACTATGACTGTTTACTGCTTTTTCGTTCATTTATTGGTGAATTCTGTTTATTTCAATTAACATTTCAGCCACATCTTAGGGAGTAAATTTGCTCAGTTCACAGGTCTGTCTCTGTATGGCCCGGTCCCAAATGGGCTGAGGCCCGGTACCGGTCCGCAGACCCGTGGTTGGGGACCCCTGCTGTAGAGGACACTGAAACCGGAAGTAAAGAGTAAGTAGGAGTGAAGTTCCACCAGAAGGAAAAAAATTTGCGCCTCTGCATCCCCTTGCTTAGCTGTGGGACCTTTGACCTCATAATAATAACAATAATAATCATGCTGATAATTATCTAGAGTACACTGCACTACACTGTAATTAGAACACAAACTGGCTGGTAGGGTTGATAGCAAAGTTCCCCGTTAGAAATTAGCCCCTCCATAACTCATAACGTGTCTGTAATTTGATCACTTTCACAAGATGACATTATTTCTCAAGTTATTCATTCATTTTATAATTCGGCTCTGCGGCTCAATTTTTTTTCAGTTCTGTCAACGAATGCACATGAAGCTACTCAGACAATCTCAGGAATATCATTTCGCATTGGAGTAAAGATGTTGTGCGTTCCTTACTAGTTCCTGACATCTGACCGCAATCTAAAAAAAATAAAAATGAATTATTAATCCGTGATTGATCGTTTAATGTTCTCATTGATCAAGTAAACGCCCGGGCCTCTAATGCACATGCAGGTGTGGCAGTGCAAAGGCCAGAGAGGCTAAAACAGGATCTTGACTACATTTTTGGTCGTCAGAGTAAGGGCTTAATTCAAGCAAGCGCCAGTCAAAGGCTCCTTTGTGACCTGGAATCTGCCAGCGCTTGCTTTTGGAGGCACTAAACTGGGATGTTTGGCAGACACGACGTCACTCTGTGGTACTGGAGGTGGTGTGACGATGCAACGCAGCTGCACAGGAAAAAACACAGTGGGGCCACCAAAATTCAAGTGTGATAAAAAAATAAAAGCAAGGTCGGCCTAATTGGGTTGAGTGGGGGGAAATGTAGCAAAAGGCGAGGCTAGGCGACGCGACAATAGTCATTCCTACGTGTGGTGGCGTCAAGGATGATTTTCGGTGATATGTAACAGAACGCTTTTGGATGAGAGGGAAGCATGATGGCGGAAAATGAAATGTTTACTTTTGCTGATATGAACTATGTCGGAGCTTTTCCATAGTCGAACAGAAGATGGATGATTTTAATGATTTAAAAAGTCAGCTCTTCGAAGCTTGTTTTACTTCTCGAACGTGAAATTTGATCCATGTGCCGATCATGATTAAACCCACAAAAAAAAAAAAAAAAGTCTGAAGAAGCCATACCCCCAAAAACACAGGAAGTCCCAAATTTTGATTTGAATGATGCCATAATTTCATTTCCAGGGGTTCATTAAAGACAATCATTCTTTGAGGTCCTGACAATGTGAAATTTGGTTGCTATGGCTACTGTGGAATAGCCACAAAAAAGTCTTGAGAAGCCATGCCCAAAAAGATGCCGGAAGGCTGCCATTGTGTTACGAATTACAGGGAAATTTAGGCCATTACCACACGTCCCTCTTCGAAATCTTGACAAATTGGTTTCCAATGAAATTGCTGAGCCATTTTGTATATCAAACTATGTTCTCACTCCACCGTAGATGACTAAACTTTTGATAAATGGTATCATTTTATTGTGGCATGTGACTGATATGGTGTGCTAATTGCAGCCATCACTAAGCAGATAACACCAACCTTTACAATAGGTTGAACATACTGTATATTATACTTTCAATACACTCACTGGTGAAAATATTAGGTACATATGGACCCCTTTAAGAAGCCCAGTGCAAGATCTTTATTACATGTAATGCCTTTAAAGCTTTATATTGTATCACTTTGTACTGTATGAAGTTTTAACACAAATAAATTAGAGGTTCAAATAATGTAACTGTCAAATATATTTCAACGGAATTATTTCACATTTCAATAATGTATTTCATTGCCTATGTGACGGAAGAATTTTGGCACACACGCACACACACACACACACACACACACACACACACACGTACGTGCTCCATAGATTTCATTCATTCCGAATTAATTGCTTCTTTTCAAAAAGGGGCAGTCTAGTTGTTTTGAATTCTCAAAGTAAAGTCAATCTAAAATGCTCCGGTCCCATGAACAGGTTGCAATTAGCCCACACGTGAAAAACAAGATCTTGGGGACTAGCGGGGGGCTAAACCATCATTATTGTTGGGCAAGTCCATTCTTGGGGAGGGTTAGCTGCCAACCGGTCACACGGTCCGGAATCAGGCGGGCGGGGGATCCAAACCAGCCCGGCTGCTGCCTTGATGTGAGCACTGGAGCTGGCCAAGACAAACAGCGGCAGACAATCCCCCTTCATGCTCGACTTAAGCCGCCCGACATTTTCGCCCCGCTCATCAATGCCGTTATTGTTGGCCCATTAAGCCCCCCCCCCCCCACTCCATTAGCCGCCTGCGCCGACTACCGTTGTGCTCTGCAAGGTCACAAGGTGGGAACGAGATGGCTATGTTTGTGCCACGTATCAGCTGCGACGTAATGAACCGTCCGGCAGAGAATTTGAAAGGGGCTGCCGGATAACCCGCACTTCCTGTTGTTGCGTCAGGAGTAAGATGAAAACACGGCGAGTTCGGCAAAAAGGTCAGCTTTGGCATTAGGCAAACACAGGCAATTGCCTGGGGCCGCTGAGATTTTCAAGGGCCCTGAAATATCTCGTAAAAACAATTTAATATACTTAATTTAATGGTCTCAGAACCGCAAAACAGTTAAACTTACCAAAGTTGTTAGCCTTTTTCACGGCTGCACGTGAACACCGACAGCAAGCAAAAGACGCCTTTGCCAGGAGAAGGAGCACCGCTGACATTGTCAAGTCAAACAGGCGGCTGCAGTCAGGACGAAGTGGAGAGTGACACGGGTGACGGCTTTCATTGCCAAGATGTATTAGTGAAACTCCTCTACAATGAAATCGTGTTTGCAGCAAGAAATTTTTCACAACAGGGGACTTTTCACTGTAGCAAATTTTATCTCAGACGTAAACTCGAACACACACAAAAAAACGTATGTGTACTTTTTGTTTTTATTCCAATAGTGCATAAGCATGAGCATACACTTATTTGACACTTCATATAGCCAGCATAGAAAGAAAAAAAGGGAAAGAAATTGCGAAATTTACGATCAGCATTTACTTTCACTTGCATAATGTCTTTTATTTTGCTTCCCCCTTCTTTCATTTTTATTACCTTTATTCTGTCTTCAAGCGTTAATGTGTTTCTTTTCTTAACTCCTTGGTATGCAAAGGTCTGTTTTGTCGCTATTTTAGCAATGCAACGTTCGTGCTGCGTCTGAAACAAATACTTCCTGTACTACTGCGCATGTGGAAACCACTGTGGTGGTTGCTGTTGCCGTTTCCGAATGAAGCAGTAGAGGTCGCTGTGGCACACTGAGGTTGGATGAGACTTTGGCGGAGGCTTGTTTTTGTTATAGTGAATCTCGTTGCGAGGCAAGAGCAGAGAAAAAGATTACGTATAACGTAACAGGGGGACTTTTCGTTGTAGGGGGAGCAGAAAAGTGAGAATGGCTTTCACGCATTAAATTTTTTTCACACTTGGGGGTATTTTCGCCCATGTAGGTTTCGTTGTAGAGGAGTTTCACTGTAGTGCTGGCAAACAAGAATAAAATGTTGAGTCCTGTTCTGAGGAATGACAATAAAATGATCGAGATGATTCACTTGTTCGATAATAATCCTCAAGAAGGGTTTTAAGACCTTTATCTTGCTCAAATCTGAGTTTTATTGAAGTTAAGACTTTTTAGTTCATGATAAACCTAAAGAATCAACATCTTTGCATTGTATGGGAGTGGAGGGCATAACTTGGTTTGCCTTGGGGCCCCAAACGACTAAGAACTACCCTCTTGTACTTACTGGAAAAAATAGTGGCGAGGACTTAGGACACTCGCCGTGTATTGGATAAATGCTGCCCCCAAGTGGTCACTTTAAAGAACACATGACTCACATTGTAAGTACTGAACTGTATGCTGGAGGAGTCTGGAGTGTTTAAAGCAGGGGTGCCCATTACGCCGATCGTGAGTGGCCGGTAGATCGCGGACTGGTCCCAAGTCGATCGCGAGGGGTGTAGAGGAGAGAAAAAAACCAAACAACCATTTGTGTGTCTTTGTGCATGTTAGTAATATTTTTTTTGTGTTCATGTACACTGCACCCTAATCATCCGATCAGTCTCATTTTCACAAAAAGTATTTTAAAAATAAAATAAAGCAGGTAAATCTTTAACCTACGGTGACCTGCGTCATTCACTCTCTGGGAGAAGTTCCTAACTTGAGGGATGAATTATTTTGTCAATTTTTTTATTGAATATCTGAATGAACTCGGACCAAAATTCAGTCATGTACCTGTTCGTGCAGTCGAAGACCATGACAGGACTCTTTTCAATGCCTCCCTAGTCACTCACCAAGCACACAAAGTACACCACCCTCGCCTAAAAACAGCAACAAAGAGCATTCACGGTTTGTTAGTAGGTCAAAGGAACACAATCCAAACACGAGTCTTACAACATGTTGAAGGGTTTTTCTTTTAATTTTTTATTTTTGGTCATCAACAAAATTTGCTTACAAAACATCCCAAAAATAAAATTGTACCTATCTTACCGCATGTCACGCATGCTGCAGTTTGGACCACATGCACAAAAACAAATGAGGACAATCGCTGACAATTACTGTACAAAAAAAGGATGAAACGCCGTTAAAGGCAAAGGGGTAGCACTAAAAAAGACACCCAAGAAAAAATAAAAGGGTGTTAAATGTAACTGCCGACGCTCCTCCTCCGTGCATGCGTGTGCCAAGGCTGTGCAAAATTCAGAATTGAATTAAAACCGACCCCTAAATTCCAACTCAATTCTTAAATTTGAGCTTGAATTTGAATTGAGGTGGCAAACTGGCCGCAGAATTGCAACTGAAATTCAAATGGCGGGAAGTAGAATTCAGATTCCATTCAACTGAAAGAAATTCCTGATGCAAAATCAGTGTGTAAGACTGTTTACAACAAGAATGTTGTACAAATATTATTCTAAGGACTCATGTGGACTTTATGAAAATAAAGTGGCCGCCTTTTTTTTTTTAAGTCACACTGAAATTCTGAATTTTGCACAGCCCTGGTGTGTGCGTGTGAGGTATATGGCTACTCCCATAAAATGGCAGACGGGAGCACAGCCGAGAGCGTGTGACAAGGATAAGGCGGTACTGTACAAAAAAAAAAAGCTGAGGCGGGGCCTGGTTTTGGACGAGGTGGTCAGTTGGAGCTCAGTCGCTGGTGACCTGCGTGACCTGCGTTTCTCCCGTTTGGCTGGTGGACTGAATGAACATGGGCTGGCTCAAATCCTGACCGGCCGGCACCGTCACCTGCTGGATCTGATACAACTGCTGCATGGCCAGGACACACAGAGGAAGGCGAGACTTAGAAGCACATAATTCTGGCTTCAAACACGAAATGGAAAGCCTAACCTTTGCTCCAAAGTCTCACTTGAAACCCTAACCTATGTTAAATTATTAAACCTGGCCGTATAACTGTAATTCAAGACACTAATGTTAGGTTGAAATTCTAGCGATAATTTGAAAACTTAACGCTGAGTCAAAAACCTAATTTAATACCCTAATGCTGGCTACAATCCCTAACTTGAAACCTTAACAGGGACTTGAAAACGTAATTTAAAACCCCAAACTGAAAACCTGAATTTGAACCCCTAACCCAGGCTTGAAACCCTCATTTGAATTCTCGAATTGAAACCCTGACCTAATTTTAAAACTCAAAACCAGACTTGAAATTATTATTTAAAACCCGAACTCAGGTTTAAGACGCAGTCATGAAACCCGAACCCTAAACTTAGAACTCAAACCTGAAAGCCCAACCTTGGCTGGAAAACCGTAACTTGAAACCCAAACCCTGACTCCAAACTAATTTCAAACACTCACCACAAACTGAAAGCTGAATTTGAAACCCTATCTTGAAGGCCCAAAACCATCATTTAAAACGCTAACCCTGGCTTTACATCAGAATCTGGAAAACCCACACTTGTTTGTACCTCAAACTTCAAACCCTATCCCTGTCTTGAACCCAAAATTTGAAACCCAAACCCTTCCCCTGAGCCGAAAGATGACTTAGTGAGTCATTACCTGTCCGTCGGTGAACTGGTTGAACTGCTGCTGTCCCGGTTGCACTTCGGTCTGCGTGATCTGGAAGCACAAACACATCACGGGGTGAGCAGCCAGTCAACATTCAGTGTCGGATCAGAAAGACACAAAACAGCGTCTACCTGCTGTGTGTTGGCGAGGGTCTGAATCTGTCCTTGGACCACCTGTGCGCCAGAGACGGGCTGGGCCAGGCGGATGTACTGCAGCTGGCCCGTATTGAGCTGCACCTGAACTCGGTCACCACAGGGGGGAGACAAAGCGTCAATAAGCACAGTGTGGTGGTGAGCATGATAAAACAGGAAACCTGCTTCATCCCGATTTGGCACTTGCAAAATGGCAGAATTTTAAATTTCGGAACCTGTCCTCTGTTATTTGCTGAAAAACTCACCTATTTGCTGTTTTTATGCGAAGGCTAAAGCAATCAAAATGTTATTGCCCACATTTGCGTACCGCTCATGTGACGTTGCATCAATTTGTGCTAGCCTTTCTTTTAGGCTCATAAGATTGGTGAGCCTCATGTGAACAACTGAAACTATTCGCTGAAAAATACACCTATGAGTATTTGTATTAGGAAAGAGCAGTGGTGCCTTGAAACGAGTTGAATTCATTCCTTGACCACAATCAGAATTCAAAACGTTTGTATCACAAAAGTCATCCTTCCTTATCGAAATTAAATGAATGGTAATGCCATACATTCCGTTCTGACCTGGCCACAAAACTTCAGGAAGCTGCAATACTAGTGGTCGTTCTTCGCAGAGGATAAAGAAGATATGACAAGACTAATGTTATATTATCTGTCCGTATGATTCACCCTCCATTTGTGTCCTCATATTTTTGACAAGGTCACAACACCGTATTAGCAACTCTATTGCTTAACTGGTCTCCTGTGTTTTTGCATTGTTTGTTAGCATGACGCTAAGCAGACTTTCCTCATATAAAGCAATGTGGTTGTTTCAAATACACAAGGAGTAAATCCCCCTTTTTTTAATGTTTACCTGATTCTTCAGGCTGAAGGTAAGTTACATTCAAGACTTTTTCCCAATCCATTTCAACTTAACACTTGTTCCCAAAACATGGTCCGAATGAGAGCTTCTACGGACGCCCGAGGTATTTCCTCACCGGAATCTGCTGGATCTCGCCCGTGTTGGTGATGATTTGCTGCATGACCTGCATGGTCTGGCCCTGGGCCTGGGCCGTCGGCGCCTGACCCCCCGCCGCCTGCACAATCTGCACCTGCTGGTCACCCACCTGCATGGCCACGGGGGCGCTCTGGGGAGAGACAGACACAAAAAGGTCGATGGAGGTGTGGGGGGCGGGGGAACAGAAAAGGGACATAAGAGGCGATTTTTTTGGAGGCTGAACCAGGAGAGGGCGCACGGATGCGGGCCAGATGGAGCAGACAAATAAGTGCATGTTGTGTTTACCGTGATGGGCGTGTTCTGTGATTGCACCTGCACTTGCTGTAACTGCTGCATGGTGGCCCCCTGAAGCATCTGACGGCCCATGAGGAGGAGGACAAACAAAAAAAGCAAAGCCAAAGGAACGAAAAGGGGACGATGAGAAAATGGGAGAGAAAGGCAGAGTGAGAAGGGCGGCAACATGTTTTGAGTGGCACAACGTGAAGCAAAAGCAAAAAATCAAAATCAAAATGATCAAAGCCTCTGCATGAAAAATAGCAGGAATGGCGGGGAGAGCTTCACACAGAGGAAGACGCACACAAGGACCAGGATGAAATGTTTCTTGACGTTGCACATTACGTCCTCCTCCTCCTCTTCATGGCTTCTCAGGAGGACAGACAAGTGCTAAGCTAGGCTCTCCAATAACGCTGAGGAGGCCGTCTGCGTTGTCGCACACACACGGGCACAACATAACGGACGCATACATTTTTCAATGTACAACAAAAAATGCTCATGCTAAGAACAAGGCTAACAATAATATGACTTGAAATCCTAATTTAGAACACGAACCTGAACGTGCAAGCCTAACCCGTGACCAAAACACTAACTCTGGACTGAAACCATCATTTTGAAAAACCAACCTTGGATAAAACCCCAATCTTGGCCTGCAACCCTTCTTGAAAAGGCTTACGCTGGCTTCAAACCTTAACCGGAAGCCCTACTTCGAAATCTCAACTCAAAACTGTAATCTTGACTGGAAACCTTACTTTGAAAGTCCATTTTGATCCCCAACTTAAAACCTTAACCCTGTCTTCAAACCTCACTTTGAAACCCTTACCCTGATATCAACTCCAAACAGTGTCGTAAAACCTTGGATTGAAATCCCAGTTTGGTACCTTAACCCTCATTTGTCAGCCTTACCCTGGCTTGAAACTTTAGTTCACAAAATAATTGACAGATTATTGATATAAATGTTCCTTGCAGCCCTACCTAAGACACTCCAATTTAAAACCCTAAGCCCGGCTTGGAAAACCTACTTTGAAACCTAACCGTTGTTTGAAACCGAAACCTAATTTGAAATAAGTTCGAAAGGCTAAGAAGACAAAACGCTGCACAGTACGGTCGCGACCGATTGCCAGGCCTATCTTTTGGCACAATTCATCCAGTGTTTGTTCAGCTCAACCGCTTCCTCTTCAGCAATAGTGCCTGCGTGTGCTCTGGGTGAGCGCTACCTCATGTCAACAAAGCCAGGTAGGTACTTCTGCCTGCTCTCAAACCACAATGAGGATGCCTGGGACCGTCTGGAGCTCGGGTGTTTCTGTCCTCTTTTGTTTTGTCAGTTATCGGTACCTGTCCTTGCTGCGGCTGCGCGATGATGATCTGCCCGGGTTGGATGGTGGCGGCCGTCTGCGCGCCGGCCTGCTGGCCCTGTTGCGCGCCCTGCACCTGCACGGCGCCGGGCTGCTGCGCCAGGGTGAAGTAGTACTGCACCGGCTCTGCCGGGGCCACCGTCTGACGCATCTCCTCCTACACGCGTGGAGACGGCGGCGGAGAGAAGGACGCTGGTCAGCATATTACGTCTCCGTCCAGCGTGTTGGTGGGTGTAATGGTGGGGAGGCGCTGATGAATAACTAATGAGCTGTGACCTAAGTGGGGAAAGAGTGATGCGGTCTGGACTGGAGAGCTGTTACAAGGGCATCAGGTTGCTCCAAACCAGGTGGGTACGCTTCTCTTACTAAGAAATAATTAGTAGAAAATATGTGAGTAGGAAATGTAAGTACAATATACCACTGCTGTTCTTATTACCATATTTTCCGGATTATAAACCGCTCCGGAGTATAAATCTAACCAACCATAAAATGCATAATAAAGAAGAAAAAAACATATAAGTCGCATTTTTGGGGGAAATTGATTTGATAAATTCCAACACCAAGAACAGACATGTCATCTTGAAAGGCAATTTAAAATAAAAACAAAATAGAGAACAACACGCTGAATAAGTGTACAATATGCTAACGTTACATGGCGCATAAATAACGAACAGAGAACGTGCCAGGTATGCTCACGTACCATATTAACACTTAATTGAGATACCTATCGATTAAAGAACACGCTAACAAGTTTACCAAACCATCAGCGTCACTCCAAAATCACTAAATCCAATGAAATCTTCATCCTCTTTTAAACAACTCTTCCACCTCCGGAGGTAGAAGATGCCGCGTTTCCTCTTCTGGGTCACTTACGTCAGACCCGTCGTCGATTTATCAACACAGGGCTATAGAGCGCCCTCTTGTGGTTTAATGTGAAATTAACACGATATAATAATGTCTTAATAATTTCACACGTAAGTGCCTCCAGAGTATAAATCGCACCCCTGGACAAACTATGAAAAAAAAACTGTGACCTATGATCCGGAAAATACCGTAGATATGGACTCTTCGAGCATTACAGCAAGAGCACAAGGTAAGTTTCCACACAGCTGAGAATAGGTTCCAAAAAAAGTAAATAGGTCTAGTGTGAGACACGTGCATGACAGCTCACCAAATTGGCTCCATTTGCATCCCCACGAAATGAAGAGCATGAATGCAAGACAAAGTTAACTGTAAACTTGTTTTTATAGCTTGAAGCAAAGTGTCCTACAACTGCATCCTTTCATTAATGTGAGAGCTCCTCTCGCCAGTTCCTCAGTCAAACTGCCACTTTCCACAATAGAAAGACAACAATTTGAAATACGCTTCTTGGGAGTGTGTTGGTGTAAATCCAGCCCGTAAGGCACCCAGAAGCAAAAACGCACTGAGTGGATGCTGACCCCCGTGTCCTGGCCGTCACCAGGAGCGTAAACACCCCTCTCCCAGCTCCTATGACAGCACAGCTGAGAGTGTAGGATGTTTACACGCCCAGAGATGCAAAGAGCTCGCACGCCCGTCTTCTCGAGCAGACCCCCCCCCCCCCCCCCAAAAGAAAGGTTGCCGCAGGAACTGTTGCGGGATGCCAGGAGCAATAAGACGCTGCAAACATCCGACTGAAAGCCCTTGCTGCTCCGACCGATAGCTTCCAGTCAAGGATGTTTACAGCACCTCCAGGTTGCCAATGAGAGGGAACGGCAGATGACAATCGTAGACAAAATAAAATAAATAAAGATAACGCACTCCTACCTGTCGCTTTGGGGGCTTCAGGTCGTCTCGGGGGACGATGTCAATGAGGAAGTCAAACTGGTCGAACTTGGTAATCGCCATGGCGATGTCGTTCCGCTGTGAACAAAAATGTGAGTTTTTCGTTGTTCTCAAACCTAAAAACAAATTTAAAAATTTGTTTTCATATACGCCGGGTTTATAATAGTTCATTTTCCATTTAAAAAACAAAAACAAAAAACACGTCGCAATAAATATCATGTTTCCCAATCCCCAAATGACTTCCTTCTTCAGTACAGGTTTTCATTTTTATTTCCATTTTTATAAACAAAAAATGCTTTTTCAATTTTCATCTTACTGATTCAATTAGTTTTCCTTAACTAATAACTTTGGAAAACAATCGCTATCGAGTTGGAAACGTGGTTAAAAATAGCAACAGCAAAAAAATCTCTAACTTGGCAACACTGACGACTTAGCTGTCCGCCATGAGATGTTAGTGGAAGTGCAAGTCAGCGGGGACTACAAAAGCCACAAATCAGAGTGAAGAAATCTAATTGTCCTGAGAAAGAAAGTACTTTCTGATGATTCGGCCCAACTTGATTCAAACTCTCCTCGGTTCCCAAACATCTCTTCCCATTTCCACAGCTGAGAGTCGCTGCTGCTGCCTCTGTGGAATTTTCCACAGGATATTGGCTGTCAGACCCCCCCGCCCCCCTCCCACCCACCCCCATTGTGACCCTCCCAGCACTAGGGGAGCTATTTATAGTCACTTGATTAATATCTAGCCACACCGGGTCACACATCCCCACTTGTTCCATTGATGTGTTGCCGTGGTGACCCCGGAACGCTGCGCCGTGTGTACGGGAAATTCGGTGGCAATTTTAAAGGAAAGGGTTTAATGTCTGGAGTCAAAAATCCAATCAGAGCAGCAGTTTTGAGCCACAGCGCCATCTCGTGCAGGGTGTGCAGACTATTACGGCTTTGCATTTCCATTACCCCCAAGGTGTGCTGTGGTAGCCATGACTTAAATGGACTTATCACTAAATGTGACTTTTACATCATTTGACCTTGCTTTTATTGAGTTTCCCTTCAAAAAAACGGAGAAGAACGGCGCCAAAAAAAAAAAAAAAGGCAGGACTTCCAAAGTAGGTCTTGAGTTTTAGACTTTCCAGCCCTTCGCTGATGAACGTGATAACGGCGTACCTGCATCACATCACACATTTAAAAACACGCGCACGCGCGCACACAGACTCGCTAATCTCCGCGAGGTATGTGAATGGATAAAGAGGACTTAGGGGCTTTCATGTTCTGCTTCACAATTTTCCCTTCTTAACATCCCGGTGAGACGAGCTCTGAACCAAACTTCCCAACTGTTCCCATCACCGCTTGCTGCCCACCACCACCACCACCACCACCACCTCTGTCTCCTCCCTTTTGCCCCGTTCCCAGAGTCCGGCTTCTTCAACTTTGTGCCCAAATGGCAGCGTGGGGCGTTCAAAAAGTGGGTCAGTGGCTCCCGCCTGGCTTTCAGAGTCAGTGGAAGGAGAGAGAAGTGAAGGCAGGGTCATTCCTCGGGGGGGATGGCTGGAATGAGGGCCCCTTTTGCTTGTACGTGCCCAGTGCACTGTCACAGGCCCACAGTGAACCACATCAAAGGCAATGCAGGCTTCTTTTATGCAAAGGAAAGATGAACGCGGTACATGACGGAATGAGAGAAAGAATTAACAGTATGGACTACTACAACTGACCTGTAGGGTGCGTCGCTTGTTGTCCTCCGTGTGGATCCACGCTCTGAGGGTGAGCTCGGTGATGAAGATCTGCGCCGCCTTGGCAAACAGCACCGGCGCCTCAGCGCTGATCATCTGCACAGTTTAGTTGGGGGCAAGGGTCAATAGTGAGTTAACTGGCCAATTGAACTCTGTTGCTAACCAAAACAGCAGCACCCACCCGGCACAAAAAACAGTCTGAGTTGTAACTCTGTGCGTTGAACGTGCCCACTGGGATGTACTAAAACGGATTTAACTCATTCAGTACCAGCCAATTGTGGACCAAGTGTGAAAAGACGTTTAAAAACGTCTTTGGGAGTGAATGAGTTTTAACGATTAACGAATAGACTCTTGACTTCTTGGATGCATGCCATCATTCACAAAAGGACCGTGAAGAGGTAACTGCCCCGTTGCTAGCCAAAACAGCAAGTAAACAGTCTGCAATTGGCCACTCGACTTGCACATGTTCAAGTCTGTCTTGTGCCAGTTTGTGTTTGTGTCGCTGGGTAGCTCCGCTGCTAATGTGAGCAGCTAAAGGCGATAAAGAAACAGTTAGAGCCGCTGTCTTGCGGCTCCCAGAAGGGTCTCGTTGTCCTCACATACACGCCAATGATCTCTTGATCTCTTTACTGCATTTAAGCCGCCTCTTAACAGGAGAGGACGGTGCTCTTGACACGAGACGGGTTGCGGCCCGCTAGCGGTCCGAGCCGATAATCTGGCGGTAACGAGCGAAATAAATCGCCGGCCACTTGGCATGTTCCCCTCGCTGGGGAAGATCTCCAGTGTCGCTTCTGCTCTTTTTACCTTCACATCCTCATCCAGCTTCATGATTTTCTTGATTCGAGCCAGAGGCAACTCCTGCACGCGGAAGTCCTTCTGGAATCAAAAAAACGGGTTTAGCGAGTGACAACGCAACCACGTAGCGAGCGTCAAAAACTTGTGAGTTACTGCGGACATACCACAGTCAGGTTCCGGATCTCCTCCATGACGCGAGGCCAGAAGGACTGAAGAGTCTGCTGGGCATCGCTGCTGCCGGCGCCAAACGAATCCGCGGACATGATCTGGAAAGCTGCATGGAGAGACAACATTTGCACCCTAAGTACAGTTCAGTTTCCATTCGTAGCGTGCTTGTTCGCAACTTTTAGCAACCGGAGCAGTTGGTAGAGTACCATGTACAAAATGTCTGATAACAGATGTTGCTGCACATCAACTTCCAGTCATCCAACCTCCCTGATTTCCCCGCTGCTCGGGAACTACGTTGGGAATGCTCGCTGCTCCACTACCTTGTGCTCCATCAGATCAGATAGCAGCTAGCTAGCTAGCAGTGCTAATACTTCCATTATGATTGTTACAGGAAAGTTGATACTGTGATATATACTGTACAGTTAGCTTCCAGAAATCCAATTTATACCAAGACCAAAGGTGTTAAATCGACAGGTAACTTTGCTACTCCGTTCCACAATGGTGGTCCCTTTCGGAAAATTTCTGGAAAATTGGCAAACATAGCCGCGTAAGTAGACACGGTATCTTTTTACAAGCCAGACTGGGTGCCAGATGTTAAAACTTCGCATCCCTGCAATGTCTTCTCAGCATTTACTTTGACACAGCCTTGGTTGCACCACCCGGAGGCAACAACTTGGCAGGTTGACACCCCCACACCCCCACACCCAATCCCAAGTCCCGAACAACGACCCCAGGAATAAGTCAGCATTGACGGGCAGTGTAAAAGGGGCTGAGGCTTATCATCACCTTGTAATTGAGCACCTCGTGTCAAGATGACAAATGTCCTCAATTGCCGTTTACGGCGTGGCCTTCCTCTCGGTTGAACTCGTGTGTTGCCAACGCTATTAAAGTAGAGGACGCCGCCATCCCGCCAACACGCCCCCCGCCCCGCGCTGGAAACATTCTAAAACCGTGTCGGCCCAGAATGAACCGAAGCACTCAGTGGCTTATTATAACACAATGCGTGGCATCGTTTAAGCAGGTATGTCGAACACAACGGGGTCATATTCCATCACACACTATTATTATCGTCTTCGTTTGAAAAGTAAGGCCTGATCGAGCTTCTATTCTGGTTCTGCCGGGAACGTCATCATCTTCCACATAGCTGGAGCTCCTCGCCTGGCATGTTTCGGATGGTTGCCGTGCCACTGTGTTCAGTCACAAAGAAACCAAGTAACATGTAGAAGAGCTTTTTTGGGGCGAATACGGGGCGGCAAGTCTGGGCAAGCACAGCTACAGAGTGTCTGGATTGTGGTCTCGCGCTGAAGAGATGTGAGGAGCGTTTGCCCGAGTTAGTGCCATAGTGCCACAGGCGTTCACACGAGACAGGTAGGCACAACGCCGCACCCGGTGAGCGATGTGGGTCAAAACAATTCCCAAGTACAGGAAGATAATGCCAGGTAGACTACAATTGCTGGAGAGCAGAACTCTGCCAAAAGGCCAAGAGTGGTATTACTACATTAGACCCGTCTAAATTAGCAGCAAGTGTAATACTCGAAACGAGCAGAAACAGGCGCAGGAACAATTTGAACTCTGGTATCATGTCCATGAACTCGTAGGATTGGATAGTCATGGTGAGCAGAAAGACACGACTCAGACTCCAACACCAAAATACCAATGATATTTTGTCAACTGCACCAAAATTCTTCACTCACTGACAACATTTCCTGATCCTGTTAACAATGCAACAAACTTAACAGCAGTAATCAAAAGGTACGATTTTTTTTTTTTTTTAAATAAGAAAAAGCAGAAACATTTCCTTCATCACCACTGAAATGTTTCTTTGCCCTTGTGCCATCAGGAATGTCCGGAGAATACAATTTGATGCTTTTGCATCATCCTGCTAAATATATTACCAACAAAACCACGCTAATCAAAACATAAGATTAAAAAAAAAGACAAAAAGAGAGACTGAAAAGTCAAAAATTAATCCCAAATTTGGCACTAATATGTCTTCAGAGATGTGCCACTTTTGTCTAACACTGCTATCAAAATGCCCATCCCTATTGTTTTACATCCACTATATGTAAACGGACCCAAAAAATGTTTACTTTCTAAAACAAGATAAATTACTGAATAATCATCATCATCATAATAAATGCAGAAAACTGAAACCGATTCCTTGATCGGCAGCAAAATGTTTTCGGGCCAAGGTGACCGATGACGGCCGACTTCCTCTCTTGACTGTCACGGGCGCGGGTGAACGTCGCCGCAGACCTAAATGAATGCGACAGAGAGGCCGCTGTGGCGATCAATGGCGTCGCTTGTAGCTGCCATGACAGTCAAGTGATTGACCTTGACAATAGTCCGCCGCCGCACGCGCTTGTCCGCTCCACTTCGAGCTCGACCGAAACGGGGGGCGGCGAACCCCGCTGATCCTCGCCGACGTCTTCCGGTATCCGGGGGTTCCGACAGCAACAAGGCAAGAGAAGTGTTTGTTTGTCCCAGGGGAGGCGGTTAAATCAGCAACCGGTCCCGTGGTGACTCCGAACAAGATGGCCTTGTCCCTGAGCGCGCCTGCCAGGCGGGGCGAGTCGCTCTCCCTCGCCCGAACCTGAACAATTGAACCCATTAGCGTTGGGAGTTCGACTTGAACGTCATGGCAACGGCGCGGCGGCGGGGAAATAAAAAGCAAGCGGTTCAAGACTTTCACTTTCTTGACGCGCCTCGCACCCGATCGCTGAGTCGGTGTGTACTTTGATTTTAACACACAGGCGGGTGACTGATAAGGGGCAGGAAATGAGTACAAACGAGCGACAGGGAAGTTTGTGTCAACAAGGTGCTCATCATTGTGCTCTAGTCAAGAGTATGTGCCTTGGCTCAAGATAGGTTGGGAAACGCTGCATTAAAATAGACTTTACTTCAGTGACGTCCCACAAATAGAAGATGTGATGCATAAAACGGTCGGCAAGGCGACGATTGCTTTCGACACGAGACAAGTGAGAGTCGGGTGTCAAATTTCTCGGCTTTTTTTTTTTTTTTTAAACAGAGCGTTAATATGGAAAAAAAAGGCGATTAAAATGACTCACGTGTATGAAACGAACATGTTTTTGCAGATTTTTCACACATTTTCTTTGTCGCTGTTCCGTATAAACTACGGTTAAACGACTTTTTTTTTTTTTTTTTTTTTGGAAGACGACAAATGTGATGAGTCAGTGATGTCATTGACTTCAAGCATCGATGAAGAAGAGAAAAATCAACACCAAACGGTGTTAAAATGTTTTGAGCAACTTTTCCGAGATTGCTTCATCTCAGTGCGGTTCATCCAAAACAGCACAAGCGAAAAAAGGAGGGAAAATGCGTTTGGTTTCGTCTTCCCTGCAGCAGTGCCATCATCGCCCTTTCGGGTGGACAGAAGCCGCGGTGTCAGGTTCCCGGGCCGCTGACGTTTACCTCAACCTTTACGACTTTCACCTGACACCATTCGTCGAGGAAAGTCAACGCCGCTGCGCTGAATCAGCAGCAGCGCTAATGTTGCTCTCGAGTGGCACCTCGCTCGCCTCTTTCCGCCGTCTCATTCCTGCCTGTCCTTTTTTTTTCCCGCCTCGCCAAACGCTAGATAACGGCGGTTAGCCGTACGCCATGCTGTACTCTTTAATAAGAGGAGTGTAATCAGGTGTAAAAATAAGTTGCTCTTGGGGTAAGGGAAATGCTTTGCGGCTAATTGGCTTCCTAATGAGCTGATGCGAGTGTGAATGGCCTTCTTTTTTCTTTTTCTTTTTTTTTTTTGTGCAGAGAGGACTGGTAAGGTTGTCAGAATGCGAGTGCGCGCGTGACAGCTGCAGGACACTGACGACATGATGAGCCTTACACACAAGGCCGTCCTGCTTTGTTCGCGGGAATGATACGAACTATCAGAGATAGTTGTTATAATCTAAGAGGTATTAATCAATACAAAAAATCCAGAACAAGAACAAACATCAAGCAAAGGTGTGTATCAGTAATAGGAGTTAATCTGTGGAATAAGCTTGAGATGGATCTGAAAATGAGTAAATCTTTGGACGAGTTCAAAAACAAATT